TTTTGTTGCCGATATTTTAATCGATTTTGCCATCGATATTTTTATCGGTTTTGTTACCGATATTTTCACCGATTTTGTCATCGAAATTTGTATCGATGTTGTTATTGATTTTGCTATCGATATTTTCGGAACTTATCGATATAATGATCGATATTTTTATCGATTTTGTAATCGATTCTGTTATTGATTTTATTATTGATTATTTATCGGTTTTGTTATCGATATTTTTGTCGCTTTTGTCATCAATATTTTTATCGATTTTTCTATAGATATTGTTATCGCTTTTGTTATCGATTTTTTTATCGAATTTATTACCGATTTTGTACTGGATTTTTTGATAGATGTTGTTATCAATTTTGTTATTGACTTTGGAATCGATTTTGTTATCGATTTTGTAATCGATTTTTCGATAGATTTTGTAATCGATTTTTTATCGATTTTGTAATCGATTTAGTTAACGATTTTGTTATCGATATTTTTATTGATTTTGTTATCGATTTTATTATCGCTTTTGTTATCGATATTTTTTTCTTAGTTTGTGCTTTCGTTTTTGACTTGGATATGCTCTTAACCATACAACGTATTCTACGTTTAAATTTAGCGGGTGTATCTCCGATACAGCCTGCAGACCAAGACGAAGGCGCTGGACTGTTCCTTTTTTTTGAGTTGTGTTGCTTTTGAAGATACACTAGCAGTGCCAATTCATACGGAAACTATTTATTCCATTGTATTAACGTGCCCATAAGAACCACCGGGTAAGGTTTCGAAAACTGGAAGTAGCAAAAATTATCGTCCTCCGTGCCATGCAATTAAACCCTAGCACTAAAATAAAGATTGCATGAACATAAAACACATTTTTTTGCACGCTTAAATTATTCAAAATTCAAATATTAAGCTTTTATTCCAATAACATGGTGAATAGCCTAAAAGTATGCAATGCAACATACTGGAAATACGTAGCTTAAAGCTCGCCGAGTCGCGACTAAAGAATAAGAATCATTGAGAGCCAACAACACATCGTCCAATCAGAAGAAACATTCGTTTGAATCTGAAATTCATTCATTCATTCATTATAAGCGTTTGCTGTGTTCCGCAAACCCAACCCTCAAGTAGTCACAGGAAGAAGCAAATGCAACGAGACTTTCGTACTTTACTAATGACTGAGCAATAGAGTAAGAGCATGTGAGAGCGAGAGAGCGAAAGAGCGAAAGAGAGCATGACTGTAATGGATACAGAGTTGAGTTTTAAATTCCAATAGACACTTGCTAGCACACCCACCCAAATATGTGGGCATAAAAGCAAGCATACAGCGCACAGCATCCTGCTTGAGAGAGAGAGTCAAATGAAAGGACTAAAGACTGATTATTCGCTCCGTTGATGGTACACATTCAGTCCCGGATGAGATTTGAAGCAATAAACTTGAGTTTTATAATAAGCGTGTATACATTTAGGCGAAAAGATACTTAACTATTTACTTACATATATAATGGGCATATATATTTTATTATTCTAAGCTAAATCAATGTGATTTACATAAACGAAGCCAAACGCAAAAGTAGTTTGTAGTGAAAAGTGTGTAATCAAAATAATGTACATAAAAGTACCTGCTACAGTTTTTCGTTGAAAAGTTATTGAGTAAATGTGAAAAAAATGCATGAGAATTTATTTGAGGAGAAAGCAGGAAAAATAAGGATACCCGCAGCCAAGCCTGTCAGGCCATTTAGCTAAATTAATGTTCTAGTGTTGGTGTTATACATCGATATATGTAGAGTATGTATGTATGTATATTCTGTGTGCATGGGTAGAGATGTGGATTAGCAGAAGATTTATGTACGAAAAATTAAAAAAAATTGAATCGAGGTAATATATGTAATGATAAAATGTAATTAAACAAAGTGAGATGGTTAAACGTACTTACATACATACCATGTGTGCAACTGAGTTAAATGAAAGGCAAGCGTGAAAAAATTTTAAAATCTGTTTGCTTTTATATGTAGCATACTTTAAGCAGCGCTAGATATAAAGCGTATGTAGGTATGAATGTAGTTGGCTGTTAGGGAGCGGCAACTGCTATAGGCGAGGCAGGACAATCGAAAGTGTGTGCAGATTCGTACACATCAGGCTCAAACGTTTACATATGTATGTATGTAGCTGCATTTAATCCACAAACATATGTGTTAATGTGTATTTATGTGCGTTGTGGCTGTTACTAAAAAGCTACCGCCGTTCTTGCTCCTGCTTCTGTCACTGCTGTGGTGTTAAACTTGTCGATAGCAGGAACATATGCATATACATAAGTTTGTACGGACCTCTATGCATACACTTGTCCTTTCTTCTTCGCCTGAGTACGAGTGTGCATGTTTGTGTATACGCGCGTATGTGCTTTTATACGCGCGTGCGTGCGCTTGTGTATGTAAGTGTCTGTTTCCAGTGCTCTCATTTTGATTAACTTTGTGAATTAGTAAAGTGTGGCGATAGCAGTGCACAGCTACGACAGGACAGGCCCAGTACAATGGCAGCAGCAACAACAACAACCACAAAAGCAACTCACTGCAAATAATACAAAAAAAAAAACAATAACGATATCAAAACACCACTTAAGACCACCGCAAACAGCATCACACATTAAGATTCGTGCAACAACAGCGTCGACAACGATTGTATTATTTATCATACGATAACAAAAGCAAAACAAAATCATTCGCATCCTCATCCGCGCACATCGGTGTTGGTGTGACAAGACGAATGCACGAGCGGAGTGCAGGCGTGAAGGCGAACGTGTGTCACACTTTGGCAGTATGGCAGTGTGGCAGTAGGACAGGATAAGACAGGAACTCCTTTATGTGCATGTAAAATGAACTGTCAAACTGTGGCGCAGACAAAAGCAGCAATGCGACGAGCACATTGCATGAATAACGACAGCACTAACGACGATAAGAGGAACAACAACAACAACAACGGCCAAATACAGGCGAAAATGTTGGCTGAAGCAGTGGAGGTAGCAGTATCAGTAGCAGAAATATTGGCAGCGGCAGCTGGCATAACTACAATCACAATGCGGTAGGTATGTATTGCACCTTTGTACATTTGTATGTGCATAAGTGTTTGTAGTGCGGTCGCAACTCCTGCAAATAGACTACATATTTGTATTGAATATTAAGAGCTATGCAGGTGGGGCGCCTATTTGTAGGCTATTAAAAATGCATTAGCAAAAGTGGCATGCATTAAGGGAGCGGCATACCTCTCACAAATTCACTTTCATACATACAAACAAACAAAGGATAAGGAAGGGATTAGTGTAAAATATAAATCGCTTAAAATATACTGCTTAAGTATTTATACGTGTATGCAAGTTATGTAAAAAGAGAGAGGTCAAAAAAGAGTTTTCGCGTGAAAGCCGTTGAGTCGCAATATTTGGTCTACTTTAGGACTCCTTTTACCTTGCCTTATATTTACGATCATACGTTAGCTAGGCGGGGTTGAATATATCTCTATAAATCGCGTGCTTCTTGGGTAAAATGAAGACATTTTAAACTAAATTATCGGAAATACTTTTCGCATAAATACAATGTCTCAAACAAGTGTCCACTTGTTGATTTTTTTTTTAATATTCAGAATGTTTTCAAGCTAATTTTTTTGTTATTTTTCTATAAAAATATTGTCGAAGCTTTAGCCAAAACCATATAAATCAAGGTTGCAAACTCGCCACAAAATTTAGGAAAATTCAACAAATTTTGATGAAAATTTTGAGCTTTATAATCTGAATAAGTGCAATTTACGAATTGGCGTTGTTTTTTTTTTTAATTTTGTTGCGAACGATCTCCTGCATTTTAGAGTGTTCCCTTATAGTAGTATTATAAACAGATGGACAACATTTCGGGGTCATATTCTCATTGCTACGCTTTTTCGGTACTCTAAGGCGATTTTGAGGTTAGGTTTGTATGGGCGATATACTTTAAAATAAACCGACCATACCCATTTTTAGTTTGTTTACTTATAATATTATTATTAATGAACAGATAGACGAACTTTCAGAGTTATATTCTCATCGATGCGCTTTTTATAGCATTTTAAGGCGATTTTGAAGTAGGTTTGTATGGGAGGTATGCTTTAAAATAAACCAATCACGACCATTTTTCGTTTTTTCCTTATTTGTGTCTACAAATATTACATAGAAAAAATTAAAGCCCTACATCAACTTCTATGTTTTTCGAAAGAATTGATGGGGCGGCACCACTTAGCGCCACCTGTCAAGTTTCTTTTTAGGTCAAAAATAATAATTCTCGTGTGACCCATTCGGATGTGAATAACCTATGAGTTAACCAAAAGTAGTATTTTCTCAGTTACTCTTGGAACTTAGCCAATGTACGTATTTCCGAATATGTTGCGATTCGTACAGTAAAACATTTTTAAAAGCTTCGACAATAACGCCACACAGTGTGGAAATTGAACTTTTTTCGTGACAAATTCTAATATCTCGAGAACGAGCACGGCTAGTCATGAATTCATAAAAAAAAAAATTAAAATGCGTTTTTCGATTCCTGCGACCATGGAAAAGGATTCCTGGAAGCATGGGCAGAAAAAATGTGTTGTTAAAACTTTTTAAAAAGTTCACTGCAAATTATTTTCAGGTCAAAAAAGGAAAAAAATTGAAAACCCCCTCCCTTTGAAGGTCATTTGAAATGTCAAGCAAATTGTTTTATCCAACGAAACTATTTTTCCCGTATTCTCAATCTCAAAAGCCTTAAAACACTATTGTTGAGTAAGTCTTAGACCAGTCACATTAAAAACGACTTCACTAATTTTGTTGGAAATAAGCTTTAATTACATTTTTTTACTTTTTAGATGTGCATATAAAACATGTTACATTAAAAATAGGAATTTGAAATATTCGTTTATTCATTTTTGGCATTCGGTATGCAATAATACTTTTTGTGAAGAAAAAATTTGCTAAGTTCTAATTAAAAAAAAAACGAAAGCCAAAGCAGAGAAAAAACTACAAAAATTAAAATAAGAATAAATAAAACCAAAGTTGGTTGGAAACAACCAACAGTGGCAACCCTGGTATACATACCAATATCAACCATACCATATCAACCCACCAAGCGACATCCGGTGACATTTACAAATGCAGTTTGACGCATCGAATCGATCTCCATATCGGATGTATTGAATTGGAAGTGAAGTTTCCGCCTGAAAGGCAAAGCAAAAGGTATTATGTGCTAAGAAAAGCATTGACATATACACACATATCTACATATACACATGTATGTATGTACATATGTACGTTTAATTCGCAAATTAATTTGTGCATACATATCTGCGAATTTCAAAATGCATTAAGTTTTGTTCTACTTCTTGTTTCGATTAGCATACTTTTAGGCCTTTTGGCCCTCCATTTTTTCTTTAATTTCGCTTTTTATAGCGCATACGAAAAATTTGATGAAGAAAGCTGTGACTAGTATCGACTGGAGCAAAAGAGAGGTGAACACTGTTTCTAGTTATTTAAACCGCAACATTTTACTATACTATCTTTTTCACAAAATTTAGTGCTTGCTTAATGAGATTTTTTTTGTGGAAGGCTAATTTATTTTAGCATAAATAGAAAACTAGTCTAAAGTAATCCGTTCTAACTCTTCATGATGTCTATGGTGATGTCAAGTGGAGGAATTATTTGTATTACCTTTGGCACCCAAAACACTGTAGTTCATTTATAAAAATTAGGTACATTTTTTTAGTCATTTAAGTCGAAGCCACTTCAGTCCATTGTAGAAATACTAGAGGAATGAGATTTCCTGTTCGAGCCACGTAATAAAAGCGACATAACTGTCGTACTGATGAAAATTTGCAACACTGTTGCAACTGCCCAACTGATAATACGTTGTTAAAAATGCAACACTGCGGCTGCGATTGTAACTCGAACAAGCTCATAGACTATCCTATGCGCTGATCACGAATCTCCATCACGTCATGATTCTTCTGAACGTCAATAATACCCGCCATGTTTTTTGAGGTTAGTAAAAAATCCTGACGTTTTGCAGCAAAACGCTTCAAAATACATAAGGAAAGGAAAGTCTGATCCCCAACCCCGACACTTTTATTCGTGTATGTATATGTATGCCTGCGGGCATAATACCCGTTGACGCTAGCCTGATAAAAAAAAATTACCTCAGAAAATTTGGAGTAAAACTCCGTACCAAGTTTTTCAGGCGTTCAGAGCTTTTTAGGCTTTCAGAGCCTGTAAATCGAGTGTGGATTGCAGAAGTCATTTCGAGTTTATCATAACCAAACTAGACCGTCTTCAATGAAAGAGAGTTTAGAAGGAGAACAAGTCATGGTACTTACCACATTTGCAGTCTTTTTTACTATTTCTATTCAGATATATGCCAGCTGCAGACTCTAAGAATCATAAATACAGTTAAACCTCGATATAACGAAGTGGAAATTCTTAGGTATATCTATAGTTTCGTTATATTTATGGAATAACAAAATTTCGATGCAACGAAAAATTCAGAATTTTTGAAAAACTTCGTTTTAAGTATAGATTCGTTGTTTTTATAACAGGACTCTAACCGTCAATATAATCCGCAGGGCCTGGGTTCGAGCCCAGTTTCCGACCAACACCAAGAAATAAAACATAAAAATGTTTTTTTCTAATATCGGTCGCCCTTTGGCAGGCAATGGCAAATCTCCAAGGATATTTTGCTATGAATAACTTCTTCTCATAAAAATACAATCGCTGTTCAGAGTCCCCATAAAACTATAGCTCCCTCACCTTTGTGTGACAACATTAAAGCGCACGCCACAAATCGGAGAAGCTCGAAAAAACACTAACATGTTGTGTAAGCGCCAATTTATTATTATTATCATGCTCAAAATTTCTTCGTTATGTCTTTTTTGAAAATTTCGCAGCAACGAGGGTATTGAGCTTTTCGTTTTATCATGGTTCATTTTATCGAGGTTTCATTATAGTTTCAATTAAATTTTATCGAAGTATTTGGTATTACGCCGTCTCAAAATCCTGTTAGCGCAAAGCACAGTTGAGAGGTATGCCGAGCTCCTAATATTCACTATACTAACGCTGTTTGGTTCCTATCGAAATAAAATTGTTCAAACATTATAATACAATCTTTTTCTTCATGTATTTTATGTATATATGTATGTATCTATATTAATAATATTCCGATTTTCCAGATCCAGTTAATGGGTAATACACTCCCACATATACATACATTTGTTGGATGGCTTTGAACACAGCTTAATCATCTGGGTACTTAGCAAACAAAAGCTTTAATTAAAGAACAACAGCAATACATTTGCACGAAACTATCAGAGAACATAAAAAATAGTAATTAATAAAGATTAAAAAAAAAAAAAACACATAAACAACATAAACAACAATAACTCATAAACGCTTAAAAACATAAATAAAATAATCCAAATGGGCACTTTCGATTTGGCAAGACTAGCTATGCCGGCACATGGGCCGCCTAGCATACTGGAACCTTTAGCACCTTCATTCCGCACAACGAGCACATCGACGACTACAACTACAACAACTACGACAACCACAACCACAATAGCGCCTTCCGTTTTCTTTACCGTTATGCTGGACAATGTCACCACAGTAATTATCTTAGATAATGAAATAGCACAAAATCAAACGAACACCACTAGCATATACGAACCGAAGGGACCACGCTATTCGGTCTCCTCAATGGTGTTCATGGGCATAATTGCCGCCATACTCAGCATACTCACAGTGGCGGGCAATGTTATGGTTATGATCTCATTCAAAATCGATAAACAACTACAAACAATCAGTAATTACTTTCTATTCTCGCTGGCCATTGCCGATTTCGCCATCGGTCTCATATCAATGCCACTTTTTGCAGTCACCACGATCTTAGGCTACTGGCCACTTGGTCCACATATCTGCGATACATGGCTGGCGCTGGACTATTTGGCATCGAATGCCTCGGTATTGAATTTGCTAATAATCAGTTTTGATAGATATTTTAGCGTTACACGACCTTTGACATATCGCGCTAAACGTACCACCAATCGAGCAGCAGTCATGATTGGCGCTGCCTGGGGCGTAAGCCTGCTATTGTGGCCACCTTGGATTTACAGTTGGCCATATATTGAGGGTAAACGTACCGTACCGCAATACGAGTGCTATATACAATTTATTGAGACCAATCAGTACATTACTTTTGGTACTGCACTGGCCGCATTCTATTTTCCGGTAACAATTATGTGCTTTTTGTATTATCGCATTTGGAGAGAGACAAAAAAGCGACAAAAGGATCTGCCCAATTTGCAAGCGGGCAAAAAGGATTCGTCGAAACGTTCCAACTCAAGGTGGGTAAAATAGTAGAGTGGAGAAAAAATTTAGTAGAAATGTGCTCCCAAAACTTGTCTACCTTGAATTTAAACTTGAAATTATTTGAAGAATGTAGAGATTTTCTGTGGGCCTATTTTACGCGCAAAAAAAAATATAAAGTTGTACACTTCTCCGACTTTTTCTCAATCGTTTTCTTCTCTCACATTTTCCTAGCGATGAGAACACAGCCGTTAATCACACAGGCATGTTATCGTTTTCACAACTGGGCGGCAATGCAGGCGATCATGACACATGGAGACGACCAAGATCTGAGTCTTCTGCCGATGCTGAGAGCGTTTACATGACTAATATGGTCATTGATACGGGCTATCATGGTCTGCATTCACGCAAATCGAGTGTAAGCTGTTTTTATTGTTTGCATTTTTATACCCGAGCGCACTTGTGCACAAGGGTATATTAATTTTGTTCACATAACGGTTGTTTGTAACAGCCAAAACGAATCGAGATAGATTTAGACAAATGTATACATAAATACTCAGAATGAATAGAGAAATCGATTAAGCCATGTCTGTCTGTCCGTCCGTCTGTCCGTCCGTCCGTGTACACGATAACTCGAGCAAAAATTTAGATATCTCAACGAAATTTGGTATGTAGGTTTCCGTTAATCCAAGGTAGGTTGGTAATGAAAATGGGCGAAATCGGACTGTAACCACGCCCACCTCCCATATAACGGTAATTTCCAGAAATACGAAAACTGCGATATTTTAGTAACTACTGAAGATAATTCACTCAAAATTGATATTTACAATAATTTTCAGACGAAAAATAAGACTTATAATAATATTATAAATTTTTGGAAAATGGGCGTAGCCACGCCCACTTATGGTTACATGTGTATATCTTGGTAACCGGCGCACCAATTTCTTCCAAACTTGGCACAGTTGTTGGCCTTGATACAGCAAACTAAATGGCCGAAAATTTAAAAAATCGGACAATAACCACGCCCACATCCCATATAACGGTAATTTAGAGAAATACCAAATATTCGATAAATCAGTAAATATTAAAGCTAATTTATTCAAAATTGATGCCTGCAACAATTCTTTACCAAGAAATACGTTTATGGTAAAATTTTGGTAAATGGGCGTGGCACCGCCCACTTATGATCACATATATGTATATCGGTAACCGTTCTACCAATTTGTACCAAACTCGGTATTTTTATTATGCTTGCCACATAAAAGCAAAACGTTGAAAATTATTGAAATCGGATTAAAATTACGGCCGCTTTTTATATAAGGGTAAATTTCAGAAATGCTTGAAACTGCAATATTTCGAAATTTAAGGACGCCAATTTACGGTTACCATCTAGCGGTAGCTTTCGGAAAGGTGAAAAAACATATATTTAATACTCGCGCCGGGTATTTAATGTTCGGCTCCACCCGAACTTAGACTTTCTTACTTGTTTATTGTAAGTATTGCATAAGGGTTACCATGAGTCTCTCATTCGAATTTTTTCATCACTTTGTTAGAAAAAATTGCTTCGCTAGAGCAACTACCATTTTAAAAGACATATCTTAATGAAAGCTTTGTTTACTAATTAAAAGCTTCAAGCAAACTCGTGGCAACTCTTGTATAACATTAAATTACATCGCCTAATTCGTAACTTGTTTTCCTACAGATCAAAAGCACTAATACCATCAAGAAGCCATATTCATGCTTTGGTGGCATCAAGGAGTGGTGCATCGCGTGGTGGCATTCAGGACGTGAAGATTCCGATGATTTCCCATATGAGCTAGAGGAACCATCGGATTTTGGGTAAATAGCTATCTAAACGAGTTTAAGTTAGATATAAGAGATCGCTGACCTATAAACATATGTTTACGCTGTCGCCATTTTATCGTACAACAGTCGGCCATTAAGTCGAAGAGCTGAGTAAGGAGTCTAGGTCTCTTTTGAACACAGTTAGTAGTCAGCTCGCAGTACATTCCCGAAAATGAGCACAACAGTTGAGTTAGACAGTGGGAGTTCCGCATTGGGCTCAATCGAGGACCGGATCTACTTCTATGTATTTACATATGTATATACTGGAAAATTGTTTTCCAAGATATTTTGAAAAAGGGCCAAAGGGGGCGGTGTTGTGAAACATATGTGGCTCTTATACAACCCTAAAAGATTTTGTTAGATAACCCCAGACCTGAGTGCGCTAGGCTACTAGCGGTTCTCACTGAATATTGGCCGTTTTGCACACACGACAGAAAGCTGGGCATTAACTACACCAAATTCTGTAGAAGCTACAGGAACGAAAATAAACAGAAAGAAGTGGATCACGTTCTTTGCATATGACCCGTTTTTATGAGGAGCAGGAATACGATACCAGAAGCATATCTCTGACCTGTCCACAACATACTCAATTTAATCAAACACGCTGGTTGGCTTTAACATGGCCAGACAAGTTTTGTGGTGTAAAAACGACAATTTCATCCCTTTTTCCACGCCATAGACAAAACTCATCGGATGACTATTGTCTTAGCTACTGCGACTAAAACAGTGGCACAGAAACTAAATATTGTTTCGTCATTGTCACATCCTCAGTAGGTCATCATAACAATTACCATCACTAGTGCCCTTACAGTTAAGTTTATGTAACTTAGTAGGTACTAAAAAAGTAGGGTAGGCATAATAAAGGCATGACTTTTTTCCATTGGTGTGGGAATAGAGCTGTTAAACCGTCAAGTGTCAAAAGAGCGGTTTAGAGAAAACTAAAAATATACCCTTTTAGGAAGCCAATTTTTTTTTAGGGGGATTGAAGACAATTAAAAAAATATATATAATATCGAGTTCTTTTATGAAATATGTTTTTTATATTTGATTGTTAATGGCAAACCTCCGAGTGTATTTCAGCCATGAACAGTTACTCGTATGTTCGTATGAAGAACAAAAAAAAAATATATCAATAACTCCAAAAGACATACAAAGACTCGTGTATTTCATTAAATTAGACAGCAATGGTTCCTGGCGAGTTTATTTACTAATCGCTGCATTTACTTCCAAAGAAGAATATTTCGTTCTTAACTAATTTTTGTGTAATTTGGAGCTTTACGGTGTTTTGAAATAATCGATGTAATTGCGTATGTAACTAAAAGGAAATCTGCCTAAAAACAAGTAACATTTGTTGATGAATGTTAACTGTACCGAATTTTTCCAGTCTTTTCTGATCTTTATTGATTTTTTAACTTTTTATGGAAAATACGAAACACATTTCTTTACACCCGAATGGGTTTTAACCCTTCTTATTAATAATAAAATAATACATTCATTTCATTTATTTGTTAAACTCTTCCTTCCGCATTAAATTCTTCTTAATCTTTGATTCATTTCAGTTGCACTTCAATGGGTGTGGTACGCGATAACTACTCTCTCGGCGGCAGTGGGTGCGGCGTACGTCCGCCAAGCATACTGTTACCCGATGTCTCACCCACCCCACTACGCCCGCCCATGACACCACTCTCCCAGCTACAAGAGATCTCTTCGGCATCGGGAGCGCGTGATTCACGCTCCCTACCTGGCAATAATCGCATCGCTTCGCGTTCGGTAAGTCAAGATTCAGTTTATACAATACTAATACGGCTACCCTCGGATGGGGCAAGCGCCAACAATGGCCCAGAGGCGCCATCGATCAAAATGATACACGAAGATGTGTCGTTACCAATCATTGGTGGGGCTGGTGGTGGTGGTGGTGGTGGTGGTGCACCGCCACCAAGACGGCCACTTTCGTCGCGTGATTCCGAATACAGTTTGCCGTTGGGAAGACGCATGTCTCATGCTGCACACGATGTACGCATACCGCTCAATGCGAAAATCATACCCAAACAATTGGGCAAAAATGTGCATGCAACAGCGCGTGCAGCGGCTAAGAAGAAGAAGAAGTCACAGGAGAAGCGACAAGAATCGAAGGCAGCGAAAACATTGTCGGCCATCTTGCTGAGTTTCATTATCACTTGGACACCTTACAATATACTGGTGCTAATCAAGCCACTCACCACATGTTCCGATTGCATTCCCAATGAATTGTGGGAGTTTTTCTATGCGCTTTGTTACATTAACTCAACTATAAATCCGGTTTGTTATGCGCTTTGCAATGCATCCTTCCGCAGAACCTACATACGCATACTCACCTGCAAGTGGCACACACGCAATAGGGAGGGCATGACGCGTGGCGTGTACAACTGAGTGAGGCCTGCCGAGGGGACGCTGATGCGTCGGCGGGAGGGTAATGCGGGCCTATTTGAGCTGAAGCAAAATTCAAAACTTAAAACATAATGATAGTGAAGGAAGGAAGGTGCGTACTGTGAGATGTGAGTAAAAATTTGAGAAAATTTGTGGGCGGGAATAACTAAGAAATATGCTGAGTAAATATATATTAGAGTTTGTATGTTTAAGTATTCCAGTTTAGGTATTGTATTTACACATTATTGACGTTATGTATTGTACGTAGACATACATATGTACTATGTAAGCACATACAGCAGTTGTTGCTCACTGATTTGTTGGAGCCCCGACGTTTGTACCAACATGTAGATATTCGTATACATAGATATTGCTAGTATATTTAAATACATATTGTATCACTTAGATTAACCATATTAATTTGGCACCAACAAAAAAACTAAAATCCCAAAAAAGAAACTAACACAACATAAAATCTAAAATAACATTTAACCTAAGGACCTTATGAAAGGATAATTGTGTTATCTGGAAAGACTTGATTCCTTTATTTTTGTGTACATTTTGTTATAAGTATTCGTGCAATAGGAAGAATTTTATACCGCCAAAGTACTGATTTTTTAATAAATACTCGTAAATGTAATGAATAATAACTAATAATGAATGTAATGGAAATTAGCATACTAAATACTAAGCAAAACTTGAAAGAAAAACCATTAACTACATACATACATAATACACTAAATCAATATAGAAAAATATGAATGAAAATGTAGATGTATGTTTGGAGTAAAATCATACTACATATGTAAAACAAGATTAAACACAATAACAAATCATTAGCGTAACTAGAAAATTAATACATATGTACATATAAAACTTCCTAAACACATACAAAACTTCATACATGCACATACAAATATATGCATAAATAAAAAAAAATCTGCATACATATGTATGTACATACGCAACCTATTACATACATACAGGCGTTGGCCCATGAAATTAAAGAAGAAAAACACCATTGTGCGAATGCATATAAATGCGTGCGCTTGCATGCAGACAACAACCGTATGTATGTACATGCATACATATGCGTTTGTTTGTATACCTTGGAAAATAGCATGCTTTGCGGGTGTATCTACATATATGTGTACATATGTATGTTTATGCACGAAAACTCCATTAGTCAACTGTAAACATACGATTAATCCGTTTCATGGGAATGCATGCTTACATGCATATGTATGCCATTCCATATACATACATACTAAATATTAATACAGTGTCCTAGCTCAACAAACAACATCAAATTTATTGATTTTTATTACTTTTAACTTTTTGGTTTTTAATTTACATAATTTCACTACTATTTTTGTGCTTACGTGTTACGAATATTAGAGCTATTCGCACTTACCAATGTTCATTCAGCCCGATATCGTTGCTGTGTGACGAATAAAGGCTATCATAATCTTCCGTCGCCATTTCTTAAGCGTGTTTCGTGACACCAAACATGCTTGCATTAAGATCGAACCCTCAGACTAGCGCACAGTGGAAAATATCGGAAAATATTCTAGGCGCTGCGCTAAAATAACCGTATGAGTGTAATTTTATTTAATTTTTCTTTTTCATCTTTGAATAGAGAATTTTTTTTTCCTTTTCAGGTGAGGCTGGTTAGTTTTCACTCGACCTAGTAAATTTCGGATAAACGTATTAAATTATCTCATCGTAATCATGAAATTAAAGATATTTAAAGAAAAATTTAAAAAAATATTAAAGATATTTAAAGAATAATTAAAAAAGAAAATATTACACGGCTAGAAGTTTTTCCGATATTTTCTGGAATAAGTTTACAGAATGCTGCTGGAACAATTAGCTATTTGTTAGACACCTTTGTTTGATAAATTTGCTTTCGTAATTGCAATTTGCCAATCATTTATAGTTCATGATAATGAAAATCGATTTTAATTGTTAAAGGATTTTTCTCAGCTGGCAAGATCTTAATTTTGATTACTTTTGTATTAAATCATTAAAATTTTTGGAATTTAGTTCATTATTTTTTATACATTTTTTTTTTTGTAAATTCTTCAATGTGACCATCAGGCAATGCTGTTTAAAATTCGAGCTTCAATTTCATTTTTAGCATCAATTATATTGAGCTTGAAACCATTTTTTATAATACGTTTT